CCACAAATTTAAAACGGGGGAAAACGAGGCAATGCGCGGGGTCGGTGGTGCCGCCCCCCCGGCCGGGCCCCCTGCCCGCAGCGAAGGCCGGTGCGTGGCTCGGCGCCGCCCCGGTGCCACGGCGGCGGTAAGACCCCACGGCCCCCCCCCGGGCTGCCGGGCCCTTCACCAGTGCCCCCCCCGGGGAGGCGGGTGTCCCGTGATGGCCCACCCCGGGGCTGCACCCGTGGGCCCCCCAGGGAGGTGGGACCCCCACCGAGGCGGCAGCCCCCAGCGCTGCGTCCCGCGGTGGGGGCACTCGGGCTCTTTTTTCTTTCTTTTCTTTTTTTTTTTCCCCTTTGGTAAGTCTGAGACATCCCCCCCCCAACACCCTCTGGACACCGAGGACGAGACGCGCCCCTCCCCCGGCAGCTCCCGCCTTCGTTCCGGGGGCAGCGGAGGAAGAGCACCCCCCCAGCGCCCGGCTCCCCAGCCAGACCCGTTTTCTCTCTTTCCGAAGCAAAAATGGCCCGGCCCTCGCGCTTTGCTCTGTCCCGCTGCGGGGGGGCAGGGACCCGCCTTCGGGTGCCGGATTCTGCCAGCGCCGTCCCGGGGGGCGCCGGTGCCGGGCCCCGCGGTGGGGGGGTCCCCATGGCACGGCCCCCGCCTGCCCCACGGCGAGATGGGGGGCGCCCGGGCACGGAGGCAGCCGCCGGCCCTGCTCCTGGCTTCTCTGCCCCTGCCCTCACCCTCACCCTCTATGCCCTTTCCTCGTCTTCTTCTTCCTTTTTTTTTCTTTTTCCTTTGTTTTTTTTTTTTTTCTCTTTTTCTTTGTCTTTGTCTTTTTCTTTTTCTTCCCTTTTTTAAATTTTATTATTTCTCTATTCCTCTCCTCTCCTTTCCCTCTTTCCATCTTATTGACTGCTTTTTCTCTTCTCTTCTTTTCTTTTCTTTTCTTTTCTTTTCTTTTCTTTTCTTTTCTTTTCTTTTCTTTTCTTTTCTTTTCTTTTCTTTTCTTCTCTTCTCTTCTCTTCTCTTCTCTTCTCTTCTCTTCTCTTCTCTTCTCTTCTCTTCTCTTCTCTTCTCTTCTCTTCTCTTCTCTTCTCTTCTCTTCTCTTCTCTTCTCTTCTCTTCTCTTCTCTTCTCTTCTCTTCTCTTCTCTTCTCTTCTCTTCTCTTCTCTTCTCTTCTCTTCTCTTCTCTTCTCTTCTCTTCTCTTCTCTTCTCTTCTCTTCTCTTCTCTTCTCTTCTCTTCTCTTCTCTTCTCTTCTCTTCTCTTCTCTTCTCTTCTCTTCTCTTCTCTTCTCTTCTC